ATGGGGTGTGGGGTTATGGGGTGCAGGCTTATGGGGTGCAGGGTTATGGGGTGCTGTGGGTTATGGGGTGCTGTGAGTTATGGGGTGCTGTGGGTTATGGGGTGCTGTGAGTTATGGGGTGCTGTGGGTTATGGGGTGCTGTGAGTTATGGGGTGCTGTGGGTTATGGGGTGCTGTGAGTTATGGGGTGCTGTGGGTTATGGGGTGCAGGGTTATGGGGTGCTGTGGGTTTTGGGGTGCAGGGTTATGGGGTGCAGGGTTATGGGGTGCTGTGGGTTGTGGGGTGCTGTGGGATCCAGGAGTGTCGGGATCAGGAGCTGTGGGATCTGGCGTCGTTGGGATCCGCTGGGATTCACCTGGCAGGGAGCTGGGTTTTTGGGAACAAAGATCGGCGGGATCCTTCCCGGCTGGAGAAGCTCCTCTGCCTTTTCCCGGCTCCCGGGGAGCGGCAGCTGCCGCGACAGCTTGTGCTGGATCCGGCTGCTCCGGCTGTTCCGGCAGGGAGCGGGAAACCGGGAACGGCCTGGCAGTTCCATGGCATCCCGGGAAGCAAATCCCAAATGTCCCATTGATGTTCTGGGAAATAAATCCCAAACATTCTGGGAAACAAATCCCAAATATCCCGTCAGCATCCCGGGAAACACATCCCAAATGTGCCATTGATGTTCCGGGAAACACATTCCAAATATCCCTGACCCACAGAGTCCCGGGAAACACATCCCAGATGTGTCATTGACGTTCCGGGAAACACATCCCAAATATCCCATTGACATTCCGGGAAACACATCCCAAATGTCCCACTGACGTTCTGGGAAACAAATCCCAAATGTCCCATCAGAATCCTGGGAATCACATCCCAAATATCCCATTGACATTCTGGGAAACACATTCCAAATGTCCCATTGACATTCCAGGAAACACATCCCAAATATCCCAACAGCATCCTCGGAATCACATCCCAAATATCCCATCGGCATTCCGGGAAACAAATCCCAAATATCCCTGACCCACAGAATCCCGGGAATCACGTCCTGACCATCCCTGATCCACTTACCCCATCCCATTTCCCTCTCTCCCATCCCAGTTTCCCTCTCTCCCATCCCAGTTTCCCTCTCCCATCCCAGTTTCCCTCTCTCCCATCCCATTTCCCTCTCTCCCATCCCAGTTTCCCTCTCCCATCCCAGTTTCCCTCTCTCCCATCCCAGTTTCCCTCCCCCCATCCCAGTTTCCCTCTCTCCATCCCAGTTTCTCCCACCCCAGTTTCCCTCTCTCCCATCCGTTTCCCCCTCTCCCATCCCAGTTTCCCCCTCTCCCATCCCAGTTTCCCTCTCTCTCATCCCAGTTTCCCTCTCTCTCATCCCAGTTTCCCTCTCTCCCATCCCAGTTTCCCTCTCTCCATCCCAGTTTCCCTCCCCCCATCCCAGTTTCTCCCATCCCAGTTTCCCTCTCCCCATCCCAGTTTCCCTCTCTCCCATCCCAGTTTCCCTCTCTCTCCCCTCTCCCCATCCCATTTCCCTCTCCCCCATCCCAGTTTCCCTCTCCCCCATCCCAGTTTCCCTCTCCCCATCCCAGTTTCCCTCTCCCCCATCCCAGTTTCCCTCTCCTTGTCCCCTCTCCCCTTTCCCGACATGAGTCATTCCCTGGCCCCCAGAGATTCCCGAACTCTGGCCGCTGCTGCCTCTGGAAAACCACAAATGGATCCGGGCTCCAGCCGGGCCATTTGCTCCCTCCCCGCTGCCAAAAATAAAAGGAATTAAGAGGAAAAAAAACCCAAAAAACCCACCCGAAATTGCTCCTAAAAAGCCGAACGCGCTCCCGCTCTTCCGCCGGCGCTGCCGAGTCATTCCCAAAAAGCTTCGATTTCGGCTTTGCGGGATCCTAATGGATCTGAGCCCCGGCAGCGGCGATTCCCGTGGGATCGGGGCTGGCTGACGAGGCTCCTGCAGCTTCCAAGGCTCCGTGTCCCGGCCCAGCCCTTCCTGACCCCCCTCAGGAAAATCCTGCGGGAATTTTCTTCCCGTCGCCGCCCTCGGAGGGGTTTTGGGAGCAGAAAGGCGGGAATGGGAAGCGTTGGGAATTCCCTGTTATCCCATCTCTGAG